CATTCAGCAGGCTGGAGAAGTGTTCCCTCCATAATTTTAGTATGCTCTGGGCATCGGTGACTAGATCACCTTTGGGGGTTCTACAAGAGTATGCTCCGGTCTTGAAACCTTCTGTAAGCCGCTGCATTTTTTCATAGAATTTTCGAGCATTACCCCTGTCGGACAGCTTATCAAGCCCTTCGTACTCACGCATTTCTGCCTCTTTCTTTTTCTGTCTGCAAATGCGTCTCGCTTCCCTCTTGAACTCTCGGTAGCTATCCCATCCCRCACATGTTGTGGTCRATCGTAACGTTGCGAGGTAGGCAGCCTGTTTTTTCTCCGCTGCTACACGGCACTCCTCGTCGTACCAGCTGTTCCTTTTAACTTTCCGAAAACCGATGGTTTCGGTTGCAGCTATACGTAAGGAGTTTGAAATGCCGTTYCACAGTTCCCTTATACCCAATTGTTAACGAGTGCTCTCAGAGGAGTGCAAGCCGAGTAGAAAATCGTTCGRCTGTKTGTTGTAATTGCAGCTTCTTGACGTCGAACCTTGTATATGCTTGATGGCGTGCGTTTTTTGCTGCACAGAGGCGGGTGCGAATCTTGGCTGCAACAAAATAGTGGTCCGAGTCAGTGTTAGGACCTCGGAGCGCACGCACATCCAAAACACTGGAGACGTGTCTTCCGTCTATCACAACATGATCGATCTGGTTGGTGGTTTTTCGATCCGGAGACAGCCAGGTAGCTGTTTTAATTGCTACTAAAATATTGGTTGTCAAAAATGCTAGTTGGCGCTGAGAGTTGGTCGAAAGAGACCGGCATAATAGCAGCCTTAGCATCGGTCAAAAGCTGGGCATGAGTCATGAAAAAAAATTTTATGAACAATTGAAAATTCAATAAAAATACCGCAACCCTTTTTTGACAACCTAATAACGCCGTGCATATGAACCATTTTGCACAAATTTACAGGGAAAAACCGAAAATAAAACAACAAACTGAACCAAAGCAATTTGAAATTCTCGTGGATTTCATGAAGGCGCATCCCGATTTATCGAAAGGATCACTAAAAMCACCATACGCCGGAAGTACCTCCAATAATTTATAGAAAAATTTAGTTTCCCATTTAAACGCAGCTGGACCACCATTACGCGACATTGCGGGGTGGAAAAAGGTAATTCCAATAATTGCACAGATAAATTATAAATGTGCTTAAATGTAATCAATTAAAGGTTTGGGCAGACTATAAGACTCAATTAAAGGCAAAAAGGCGAGGATACAAAAGTAATTTTTCGGGAACTGGAGGTGATCCCTCACTTTTCATATCCTTGTCCCAGTTAGAGCATCAAGTGAATGAGTTAGTGTCAATAGAGGAATCAATAAATGGAATGAGTGGTATCTTGTCATTCGGTGCAGCTACCGAACCAAATACACAAAACAGTGAACTACCACAATGTTCCAAAGTGGCATGCACACCTCACAAAAAACAGCAGACTCCTCTTAAGACGCAAGAAAATGAACTACCACAATGTTCAAATGTGACGTACCCACCACGCAAAAAGCAGAAGACTCTGCTTGAACAACAAGTCGAAAACCAAATTATATTCCACAATAACTCGATTAAAGTGTTAAACGATATGAATTTTAATATAAACAAGTAAGGAAGGGCTAACTTCGGGTGTCAACGAACATTTTATACTCTCGCATGATAAAGTGATAATCGAGATTTCATTATCCGTCATTTACATTACATTTTTTTCCTGTAAAATTAATTAGATTAGATCAATTTGTGTACTTAGAGTATTGAATTGTATTTTCTTTATTTTAATTGCATTGAAAAGTTATAGTCCGAGCAGGACAATTTTTCCACAAGGGATACCTCAGCTCAAATATCGTATTTGT